AGACAGACAGACAGACAGACAGACAGACAGACAGACAGACAGACAGACAGACAGAAGGAGGGGAGGGGGCAGAAACAGAGACAAATCGGGAGAAAGAAAAAGTGTAACTGTGCGAACAAGCGGACTGTATTTGTGTATTCCTCTTAGTCTCCTAGAACCAACCACTCCCTGCCCTCCCCCCACACACAAACACAACCTCAGATTCCCCCTTTGCTCTCCCCCTTAACCCCCCCCCTGGGCCCAGCTTTCCCCTGAAACCAGGTGTGCCGTGAACTTCCAGACGTTTGTGAGGTAGACATCACGTCTGGAGATGACAAGTCGCCCTCACCTTCGCCCTCTCTACAGGAGGGGGCCCACCCATGCACTTAACCCATGACAATGCCCCGTTAACACTTAACGCCCTTTCTTGGGTTCACAAAAACACACGTACATTGTATAATATACCATGCAATTCAAATAGGAAACCTCACCAGAAGTGACCCATCACACTCTGTATCCTTTGCTTTTTGTGTATGTATGTGTGTGGGAGACACGCTTTCAAATAAAATAAAATCGAATCAGGAGGATCGTGCATGAGCTGAAATTACAGCTTCTTCTATTTTTCTTCTTCTTCTTCTTCTTCTTCTTCTTCTTCTTCTTATTATTATTATTATTATTATTATTATTGGGGGGGGGGTTGTTCTTGTTTTTATCTTTAAAGTCATTCCATATTAAAATTTGTTCGTTTTTGGCTAACTTTAAGTCACTTCATGTTTTCTTTTTTTTAAATTTAAGTTGCTACACCTTTTTTAAAGCTACATGTCATCCAAATGTTTTTTAACCCATGATTTGAAAACTTCACGTCAGTACATTTTTTTAAAAAGCTTCAAGTCACTACATTTTAAACTTTATTTGAAATGTCTAGTCAATACATGTTAAATTGTGTTTAAAGCTTCGAGCTATACAATTTAAAATTTGTTTAAAACTTCAAGTTACTACATTTTGAGCTTTGTTAAAACTTCAGGTCATTAAATTGTAAACTTTGTTTAAAGCTTCAAGTAGCTACATTTCAACTTTTGTTTAAAATTTTAAGTTAATATAAGTTGGATGTTTTAAAACTTCAATACATGTGTTTTTTAAAACAATATTTTGAGTTATGTGAAGAAGCTAGGCCAGTTCAGAGAAAAGTGGAAGATGTTTTTTTTAAAAATCGGTTCAGGTTGAGACAGGTGAAGATGCGGCCGGCGTGAGCTCTTCTAGGTTACTTTACAACAGATGAGCCGGTCATAAACAGCAACATATTTATGAAAACTTTGATCTTCTGTTTCAGATAATACGCCCAGAAGTGCGTCTTCCGTCAGCTGGGTGTATCGCATTGCTATACCACCAGTCAGACACTTTCTGCTGAGAAGACAATTGACGTAGGTTTGTCTCTCACTCACAGCGTGAAAGTCCAAACCAGTGACCTCGATCTCAACGAGAAGTGGTTTTCTTTGAAGTTAACTTCAAAGAACATCGAACTCAATTCGAAAATTGAAGCGCGCAGAGATGTGCTGAAAGTAAGACTATATTTCACCATTTATTCCCCTCTGCTTTATAGGCATCAGATAAATGGTAACCATTTATATGTGGGCACATTTTTGCGTTTTATATTTCTAGGCCTACACAACATATGAAGTCAAAAGGAATTTGGATTATATTCATTTTAGATAAATCCACAGAATAGTTATGATCTACATAGAGCGTAAAAAACAACCCATTCTCAGTTATGTCCCCATTGTGTAACATGACGCACTAGTTCGCATTAGGCTTACAACTTAAAGTCTCAACTATTGCCCCATATTACAAGCTACAATAGTGAAACAGGCCAACAGAAAGCTGCAGATAGTTGTTTTTTTTCTCAAGTTTCCTTTGCCTGCTGAGATCATGGTCAAGATTAATACAGAGCAGAGAGCTTTTTGTATTGGACATTTCCTCACCACCAACTCATTTCGTAGGTTTTGCACATGGTACGGAAACAATGTTAAAATGCCCTTAAGGCCCTTTTTATATCAAGGGTGGAAATGTTCCATCAGTAAGAACCCGCCGAGAATCAGATAAACCGACCACTTCAGGTCAAAAAGACACAATTTGCACCTCTTTAAACGCCACCTAGGTGCAAAGTTCAGAAGTTGAGTCCTATGAGACGTCTGTCCGTAGATAGTGCCTGCAACTAGGACTTTCGCATTCTCAAGGCAGATCTTCATCTACGACTGTACCATTTTCCTGTTCGCCAACCTGACTTGGGTCAGAGGACAACAATGTGTTCATGATGCCTCGATCGCTTTGAAAAGCGTGAACATTTCCTCGATGACATTTGGTTCCTTGACAAGGCCCATTCACCTTTCACTAGATCTATATGATAACTCCTCAAATGCTGTCTATTGAGCAACCCCACCCCTCTCCCCTATTCTCTCAAAAACAACTCCATACTGTAAGATGTACAGTGTGAGAACTCATGGTTGGATAGATCTTTGTGTTTGGCTCACAGTTGAAAATTACGAGCGACGCGTCAAAATGTGTCGCGTCCAAAGGAGGACATGCAGAGCACTGGTGCTCGGAAATTCATAATTTAAAAAAATGTTGTCTTTTTTTAACCCTGTAAGGGAAAATAAATAGTGTTTGAATGTTATGAGGATGGAGAACAATAAATTTTAAAAAGAAAATGAAGGGGAAAAAACCAAACCACTCATTTCTTGACTTTCCTTGCACGATCTTTTAAGTTGGTCAAATTTGCAATTATGGATGGTCATCAAAAAAGCCATATCCGTTTTCGAAAATATGTTTCTTCTTTGTGAATTTTATGTCAAACAAATTTCTTTTGAACGAAGTATATCTGTTAAAAATTACAACGTTCTAGTACAAATTCAGTGCCGGATATTCAAGAAAAACGTAACGTTTTTTTGGGGGGGGGGGTTTGCTTGTTTGTTATTGTTATTTTCTCTTTTTTCGGGGGGGGGGGGGGGGTAGGGATCATCCTGTGAACGGGATTTCAATACCAAAGAAGATGGGATTCTTATACAACACAAGAACATACCTGTACTGTAATTTACACACCACGAACCTTCTGTGAACAAGCAAGAACAAAATTGTTGAACAACTACTAAAAGGACAAAAGCATCGCTCACTCAAATTTGACAGTCCTTGTGAAACAAAACTAGTCCTGGGTCTGTTAAAAAAAGAATTTTAATCATGTGGCAGGGAGCTTATCCTGCAAAACGCTTGTTGTCGACTTCATAAATTATAATCTTTGGTCTACAGACCTGAATATTGGCCGACGACTGTGTCAAGGCTTGGTGTTATCATCTCCAGGTCTAGAAACCTGAATATTGGCCGACAACTGTGTCAAGACTTGGTGGGTGTTATCATCTCCAGGTCTCCCGAGGTGTTCACGGTGCCAGCGGTCAGCCCGGCGGGTATCGACTGATCAGGCCGTGACGTACACACGAGTGTGGGTTTTACGGTCTCTTTGGGTCACTTTTTAGGCAGTTTTACAGGCTAGGGCCATGTTTCTCATCAAGCACTGTCAAAATATGGGGGAAAACTGCTTCAGATAAAATGCAAAAATCACTTCTTCATCAGGCGACAGATGTTTTGTGATCTCTAAGCGCGTATGACTTGAAGAATATGCTAAGGTTGCAAGTCAGTGAAGATTTAGTCTACAGAAATCTAGAAAATTCTTATCGAGTTAGAATTGGGATCGTTTTCACGTACCTATAGTTTTCCTATCACGACAAACAAGGAGTAAAGTCGAAGATTTCATTTCATTTCGGGTTTTTAAAAATTTTTATATTTGTTATTGTTGTTGTTTTGATTTTAATTTTGTTTTGTTTCCACGCACTGATTTCTCTGGATGAAACTTTTTCCACTAAGAGCTGGTTCTTTCCCTTTTTTCCGTGCTGGTACAAGATATTTTGATGTCAAAAGTGATTCAAGATGCTCGGCTCCGCACCATTCTTAAGGCACAGTGTTGAGATAATGGATAGTCTTACAGGCTGGGGACATGTCTCTCACCGAACACTATCAAAATAGAAGAAAGAAGACTTCAGGTCACAGAAACCTCCAAGCTCGGCTCTCAAGTGGGAACAGTTATGCTTATCTATAGCTTTCCTATATGGACAAAGAAGAAGTAAAATCAGGGATTTTTTAGTCTTTTTTTTTCTTTGGTCTACTTCTTTTTTCAGATAAACCGTGCTGGGTTTCAGCTGACTACTCTATGTTACATAAACATAATAATATAATGTTTTTGTCTGTAGAAATCTTTTGGTTTTATTTAGCCGTGAACAATTAAAAAAACAAAACAAATCATGGTGACTGACAGAGTTCCAGTTACTGAAAGTCGTGACGAGATACAAACAAACAACCTAGCTTGTCTCGCTGTCTCCGATTCTGTGAGCACTTACACCTGCTGATGACATGGAAGTCCCTCTTCCCAGGTGCTGCCGCAATGGGGTATAAAAACAGCTGCAATGCTCCATCTCCAGCATTTCCACCTGTCTCATTCTCACTTTATCTTCTCAGGCCTACAGGTCTGCATTAGGATCAGAGGAAAGCGCAACGTAAGTTGCATCCATAATTCCTGTCCTTTTTCTTAGACAGAACTAAAGGTAAACGATCAAAACTGAAAATTCTTTAAAGCAAGTATTTTCATATAACTCAGCGATTATAATATGCTGATTTTATTGCTAAAAGAGTTAGGAAAAAAAACAAGAACAATAAAAACAACATAAAACCATAATGGTGTTTTTAGACTTTTGGCCGCAACTGTACTTAATGCTTCAAGAATTATGGTAAGCTTTTGTGGAATAGTTTTGATCAAAATTATTACTGTGTAAGTCCCCCTTTGACATAGATGACCGCTTGAATAGGACACAGCGTGCTACGAGGTATGTTTTACATGTTTTTCTATTCAAATCACAACGACTTATCTCAATGCACTTTTCCATCTGGTGTGGCCAGCGGTCAACCGTAGTGACCACGTCTGGCACAGCGTGTTTCGGACACAATTTCTTCCTTGTCTTCAAATCTCTGCATGCTCCCTTATTACAGTCCTTTGATTTTGGGGGAAGAAATGATATTGCAAGGAATAAAAGGACATTAAAAAGAAGAAATCATAACAGGTGAGGAAACATGAGTGTCCTGGGGTCCAGAACTAAGAAGACAATCATCAGAATGGAGAAACACAGAGTCACGACTCTAGAAAGCTTTACGCAAGCCAGGTGCTTTGAAATTGGTGCATAGCATGGTTTTCGATCACAAAGTGTCGTTTTAGAGACATGTATAAATATTTTGTATTTGGGAGCAATGTGGACTTGTCAGGCAAACAATTAATTAGTTCACGAATGTTTATAAATCAACATACAGGTTAGCAATGTTGACTTTTCAATTTTACAATTAATTTACGAATATTTCTTTACCGACATACAAAACCAACGTGGACTTTTGAGTTAAACAATTATACCGTTAAAGCTTCTTTAGTCGTCTTGCTTTTAACGAAAAAAATATCCATCCACCATGAACAGAGGTTGAGATAGCTGCAATTGAAAGAAGTGGAGATATCCTGATAGGAGAACTAGAATTAGCTAGAAAATGGCCGCCAAAGTTTGGTGACTTCTAAAGCTGAAGTGTCAATGGAAAGGACAAATTTACAATTTTTTTTTCAGTGCCTTTGATCAATGTTTTTCAGAAATGTTTAGTTAAATAGACGTATATGGTGTTGAGCCCAAAATTTAGAAATGGATGAAAATTGCTCCAAGGACAGAAAAAAAATGTTGGTTTCTACGATTCTATTATTTTGACGAGCGGCTGATTTTCTAGGGTGGAACACAAGTAATGTACGTCTAATTATCCCATATATACATTCAGTATCTGTAGTAAGAAGACATGTCGGGGACTTCACAAGAGAGATGGCCTTTGGTGGCGTGGATCCTGATCTTTGCATGGGCGCCCTCGGTATTGGCGAAAGTTTTGTGTCCGTATGAGGTAAGAACTCGGCTGGTCTATATAACCTTGTTGTGTGTATCCTGTTCTTCTCTGCCTAAGAGCAAGGCTCACCAGAATACGGCCAGATCCGGCCCGCAAGAACAGTTGGTCTGGCCCGCTGCTATGTCACTGATCTGGAATAGGGGGTTTG